GAGGTCTGGCAAGATACAAGTAAATTGTACTTGTCAACTATAAGCCTTACATGGTTGAAATATGTTTGTAGCAACGCTGATAGAAGTCATTGTCATCATAGCATTCATTTGGAATAAATCAAGTACGGGTATTCATGAGAAATAAACAAATGAGCAACACTTGAATAACTGACAAGTGCAGCTCTTATTTACAAGGAAACTGTGACCTCTCCACCATAGAGAAGTGTCAATGTCTCAGTGTGATAATGATCTAAGCTCTTAGATAAGAAAAAGCCCTGCTCAAGCTTCTGTGACACAGTATCAGGCAAACAGGGAAATAAAAGGAAAGCATTCACTATGATATTACATTCAAGATGGGTCATAGTCACAGATCTAAGCTTTTAAGAAGGGCCAGTGACCGACTGCTCGAGCAGGGCCCATCCTCTCCAATTCCCTCTGCCTTTTATAAGTCATTTCCCTACAAATGAAATCACTTCTTGCAAACCCTAATGCTAATTTTAAACGTGAGAAAATATTTCGCTCTGATCCGTGATAGAGACAAAATAGCCTCCTCATTTTGCTAACTGGCAGGTGATGAGCCGTGTGAGGAATGCATTGCCTAGATTCTGATTCCCAGATCTACTCACACACACACCAACACACACCAACACACATCATGATTGGGAATGTAATGGGGCATTTTCCTTGCACATTGATGCAGAAAGTCACACTACGTTTTACTTAATTCAATTTAAAGTATTTCGTACCACAAGAGAGACATTTATGGATTCTTAGAAGTTGTCAGTTCCCTAGAGGTTCAATGACTGATGATAGTGGTGAATATATGTGCAGTATCACATATAGGCTGGAGGCTAATTGGGTCTCAAAAGACCTTATTCCATTCTTACATGCCCACATTTATAGTGAAAAAAACATTAGCATACACCCTTTTATGTCTGTCAGACCAAATCATATGCACACATTCTGTAAGGTCTTCCATTATGCAGTGATCTCCAAGAAGAGAGCGTGCATAGGTAAAGATACATGACATAACCACCATTAGCCAGTTAGGAAGATTCTTCATACACAAGTACAAAAGGAACATGTGTATGAGAGCTGGTATCTACAGTAAAAGCATTGCAAAGATGAGAGTATGGTGAGAAAAATATATTGTGCTTTTCAAACTTCTTTTTGATATAATCCCATTGTTGAAATTAGACTCAGTCTTTCACATTAAGCCTGCAGGGTAAGACAAATGTTCTCTTTTAAAAGATTATGGTTTTGAGACAAAGAATAAAGGTTTATGATGGCTCCCATCATCATTTACATATACTTCGGGCTAGATTTCTGTCTTGCTTCCCTGAGTTTTTGGCTCAGTTACATGAAAACTGAGCTACTGTGAGTAATAGAATATTAAATATATGGTTAGTGAAATGTAATGCGGGAAGGAAGCAGAGAAAGAGAAAGCAATATCTCAATCCCTATTCCCCTTCAATTATGTACTGCTATATGTATTTATAATATACTATTCTTGAATTTAGCAATGAAATCATGTTTGGATTTCATTATTATGTTATGATAGGAAAACAATTTGATATATACTGTTTATGTGAAAACGTCCAAAACCTTATATTAAGAGGAATTAGTGTTGTGAAGACATAAGCGTCTTTGGGTTCGAGAAAAGCGCTATAAAAATAAAATGTATTATTATTATTATGTTCGTATGACAAATAAAGAACCTTGAACCTTGATTGTGGGGGGTCCCATGTTTTGAAGAACCTTTAGGATAATTCATCAAAAAAGTACATTAAAAGTGTGATTATTATTATTTCTGAGAACTTCCTGTACTGTAAATGTCTAACAACCATGTGTAATTAATTTGTCTATCTGCAAGTTGCCCCTACCTTTCCCTTGTGTGTCACATTGATTCCATCAACAGAAGACAACTTAATTTACTCTGAACACTAATATCTTTGAGCATAGTGAATTATTCCACAGTTTCATTGTGATTGCAATGCTTACTCCGGTTAGAACATGTGGAATCAGGAATTAAGATATTGCATGTCATGTGCAGCTCGAAGAAAGTCATGCAAATCAAAAGCTGTTGTTTGAAAAATCACACCCTTTATTTGCAAAGAGACCATGTGTGTTTGATTATATATTCCCTCCGTCTGTGATCCGCTAATTCAAATGATCTGACGCCAGGCACCTCATAGCTAATGTTCTCAGCACAGCTCAGACATACTGCGTAGAAAAAGCTTAACCGCGTGCGTGTACTAATGTGTGTGTGAGTGAGTGAAGTCATGCGTTGGTTGCTTGTTGGCACAGGACTGTAGTTCCTTTGCCATGCAGATCCCTGTACGCTTGTTCCAGCCGTATACCTCTGTGTGAGTGTGTGTGTCTGATCAGTGGATAGGATGAAGATACATGTTGTGCTGGGATCACTATTAGTTGAGAGTCAGCACTTCTGCGAGATGGAGACAGAGGGGGAAATGGTCCATCACATGAATAGACTCCCATGGTATATTCTCAAGGCAAAGAGAGAGCAGAGGATGAGATGATATATGGAACCATTAGGCTCCTAACACCTAACACACTTAATTCAGCTGCATGTGTGCCATTACTGCCATTACGCTATATGCTCCAGGCTCCATGGTGACGGACAGATAGGAGGACAAAGGAACAGGAAGACAGGGAGGGTGAGATAGAGGGAGAGGAGCAGGATGACCCGTGTGATAGAGAGGTTAGGTGATGTCATGCATTACTGATAGGAAGAGGAAAGGCTGGTAATACGATGCTACGGATACAAGAGGAGCCTCTCGCTGTCTCTCCTCCTCTGATGGATCTCTCCAGCCCTGCTCCAGCGCTAATAAAGGAAGTGAAGGCATCTCTTTAGCCACAGATTAAGATTGGAATGGAGGTAATGTCATTACATATGGTATCTTTATAGGATACTGATCGCTGACTTCATAGGGTGCATAGCCTCTTCTGCAGATACGTTTTTCAGTAACATACATGCTTGGATTACATCCAAACGTGATCCTGATATTATGGCAATCAGCAGTGGAATCACACAGGCTATAATCACATCACATTGCATACTGTGTGGGTGTGTTCATTAACAATAACAATGTGTAGTCTCCATTCATTATTTGTACCCAAATGTGCGAGATATGGAGCCAAAACATTATTTCTGAGGATAATAATATGTATAATTAAAGAGGCCCTATTATGCTTTTTTGGGTTTACCTTCCCTGTAGTGTGACATATGGGTTTGTGTGCATGTAAATGGTCTGCAAAGGCTAAAATCCCAAAGTTCACAATTGAGGGAGTTTCTCTCCAACATACTTCCCCCCCCCCATGTCTGAAACGCCTCAAATGGTCTCCTTTGTTTACTTCCCCGACATAGTGACATCACTAAGTTACACTCGCACTTATAGCACTCCAATCCATTGTATGTAATAGGTTAAGGGGAGGGACATGTTAAGGTTGACCAATCATAACAGAGTAGAGCAGAGCAGAGCAGACATTGCTGCTGGTTAGAGTCAGGTGGTCCAGAGTTTGTTTGTATGCCTATATACTTGTAGCATCTGTTCAGCATTTAGGCGCTGACTAAACAGGACAGGGTCATTCTGGAATACATTTAGTAATGCCAAATTGATATTGTGCATATTTTTGCACTGTACTCTGTCAAGCTGGCATGGTCCCCTAGGTGAACGAGGAGTATGACTAGCAAAACTGCAGAGTAGGGGGAAGCTGAAATCATAAATATGTGATGTGGGCCGATGGAGTGTTCCTCGATGGAGGAGCAGACGAGGTGAAAGAGGCAGAGAGGATGAGGAGGAGGAGAAGGAGAGGAGGTTTTATATATTTAAGTGCCTGTAAATGAATCTAGAGAGTCATACATATATGCAAGGACACAAATCTAAGAGGGAAGTGAGAATTAGCAGAGAGAATGAACAAACCAAATGCAGTGAAATGGTTCTTAGATGATCACAAATGCACACACATTTCAAATGTTAAGGTAAATGCTCAGACACTTATGTTACGCCCAGGTCTAGGGGAACCTAGGCGTAGCACAAAAGCTGCACTCAGCTCACTCTTCCCACTCCCAAGAATATGGACACTGAGACAGTGAATGCCGTTGGTCATTTTAATTACCTAGTTTTTAACAAGGAGGCGAGACAACCCACATAAACAAACAAATCTTGGCACACATAACTCTTGCCTAACAAATAAGAAAATAAACGTACAGGCTTCTTACCTACCCTGACGTAAAAACGAGAATTAAACAAAAGAAAAGGGTTTCGCACTCCTGGGCAAATCAAAGCGTGTCTTACAAGACAGGTTAAATTAGTTGATCTTTCTAAGATTTCAAAATATACAAAAGGACCGGTATACGGTAGAATTACACACACAGCACAACAGGTCAGATATATCAACACGCGCAGAGTTGGGAGTAGGAGAAGTCGAGTCAGAGAGAGGGCAGAGGGACTGCATGGCTGCAGCTTAAATACTCCCCTCTTCTTCAGGTGGACCAATCAGCCTGTTGAAGGTAGCTAATCAGCTAACGGGCACCACCTGCTTGCTCACTCACACACACACACACACACACACACACACACACACACACACACACACACACACACACACACACACACACACACTCACAGACACAGGATGAGGGAAAAATAACTGCACACAAATGACATAACGACCCAGGGTCGTAACACTTATAGAACCAATGATTTCCTTATTGTAGTCCAGGGAAATTACCCACCACTGGCAACAAAGATACAATAACAACAGTTGTGTTGATCTGTTGCTATCATGCATTTGTGTCAGTGATATTTAAATCCATTTTTGTATTTTTGTTAGAAGACAGGTGGGAAGTTTTTGTAGCAGAATTACAGATTTTAAACTATTCGCCTATCATTTTGTGATTACGGTTAATAAGAATTACACCCATTGACACCTTCTTCAATGCAGAAATAAACTCTTTCATCTTTTTTTCCATACAGCTGGAAGTTTCTACCACAGACTTCGCCGGAAACCTTGTTGAGGGACCGGCCCTACTACTGATCACCGTCATCGACCAAAATGACAACCGGCCCATCTTCAAAGAGACACGCTACACAGGAGAGGTGCTCGAGGGATCCCCTACAGGTAGGTGTCATTGCTATATTGAAGTACTCTAGAGTGAACTCGGCTTTTATTGATAGTAGCACAGTAATACCACACACACACCATGATTGCTACTCTTGAGATGTCTCTGATCTGAGACGAGGAATGGTTGTGTCAACATTTTTGTCTGGGTGTTTTCTATGTGTTATTGTGCTGCCAGAGTACATGTCTTGATAATATAAAATAAATGGAAATAAATACCTCCATATCAAACCTTATACATCCACTTTTTCACCTTTCCCTTATGTGCTGCCCCGAAAACTTCAAATATTTTACCACTGTGGAGTAAATTACAAATAAATGTTAAGTTTACAATGTTTGGCATTGCATTTTAGGCTATTTTACACATACTGTACACGTATCTTCTTGTATCTTCTTCAATGTAATTTGACCTAAACTTAATACAATGAGGCAGAGGGCATTCTTGAATCTGACTCAAGTTATACAGTGTGGAATGGCAGTGTGATTGCAGATTGAACTTTCAGCCTTCAGCAAGGCATCCTCAGCAGGTGTGTGATTGTACTACTAACCCTAACCCTAACCATTGCTGCAGTTCAATCCTGGAGGTCCTATTGCTTTGCTCAACAATTCATCATTAATTCCTTATGTTTCAAATCTACACATACATTGTGCAGATGTGGCTACAGAGTAAGGTTGTGTTTGACTTAATTGCAGGGGATCAAAATACATATAGAAAAAAAGTTGTAAAAACTGCCAAAACTCACTAAAGAAATCCATCTTAATAAGCTGTTATCTAGAAAATGTTGTGCCAGGACATACTTGTTTCTGGTAGTTTCCATACCTCACCTAATACTAATATTTCCTTCTTTTTTTTTTATTGGATTTCTCAATAAATTCATGCTTGAATCCAATTATTTTACTGTACTGATGAAGTAAATAGCACAACTTTACAACAATTAACAACCAATTTGACCAATGTAGTACATTTTATATATATCCACTACTTCTTCTTCTCTTCTTTCCACTCGTGTCCCCCTACTGACCTACTGTAATTATGATTCATGTCCTGCCGTCTCCCATTGACTTTTTTTCCTGTCCTGTCCGAGTCATGTGATGAATAGCGAAATTGACTCTCATTCCACCGGATTCTGGAAAAATGTCAGCCATTTGCTTCAAACAGCTTAATGAGATTATATATGGTATTTTAAGCATTGGAAATAAATGCACCGCTTAGACGGTTGAGAGTTTTTTTGACAGTTATCTGTTCGGGATGATCAATATGTAGAATCATATTTTAAATTAATGGATTTTTACAATAATAATAATACTCCTGCCGACACTATCGCGTGGTCAAGTGTTTCAATTTGAATCGTTTGGAGGCAAGGCTGGCAGAGCCTTAGATAAATCTTTTCACCTCTGGCTTCTACTATAAATCTTAACGTTCTCTTAGATGCCTTTGTCACTTTGTCACAGCAGCTGCTTTTCTTGGCTCTCTGAGCTGTTGTCACTGCTATCACTGTTGCTATCACGGTGACGGTTGTGCCCTCACTAGGCTGGAATACAAATAAATGCCCTCTGAATGTACCCAGTATCTATTTTTGGAACATTCATTGCTAAACTACTGCTACCTTTAAACAACCTGATTGTGTGTGGGTGCATGTATGTGATGTTAAAGCACGGTAGATTAAATTACATTTAAAAATGGTATTATTTTTCTACATAAATCTGTTGTATGAATGACCGTCATCCACCATACAATGGTTATATGTGACATTATACCTTGGGGAGTGTTGTGGAGTTGGTTACATCTTGAACTATTAGCCATATGTGTTGCTGTTCATTACTCACAGTGTTTACAACTTCAGTCAAGTAAAGCCTTTAGACAATCTACCTGGTTTTGATACTGCATTTTTTGAAATGGCATATAAGAACACATTCAAAGTCTAAAAGCAGCCATTGATATTGGAGCGAAGACAGGCCAAAGTTGTGTTCTTGTAAACACTGTACCAGGAACCCATGCACAAAACAGCTGTTGCTACAGCTGCTAAGCTAACGTGCTATCAGATACCCACACAATGTTTACTATAACTGTTGTATGTTTTCAAAACATAAACTAAAGTAATATCGGCTATCATCTTGCTGTAAATGACTCAAGTTAATTACTCGACTCAACAGCTTTTATAATCCAGAATATTTGGCTTCTATTTTCCGAGTGGTCTGTCCTCGCCCAATTGAAAATCATCCCACTGTTGCAATCCAGTGTCTCGATGCATCAATGAAATCTAAGGGCTGTAGATTATTTCACTGCACTTCTCGCGGCAGTTCTTGCTGTTCCGGGCCTGGTTTTGTTTGGCTCTTATGGCTTAAAACTTTCCTACATCGGCTGATTGATGATTAACTGGCTCATCTAGATTATAATGTTTCCATCTAACAACACATAACATGTGGTTATTAAATGGTGAAGCTTCCTGGTAGACTTGCTCTTTTAGACAGTCTGTTTGAGAAGAAAGAGATGTGAGCATTATCTCTAGTTAACTACCTCCACAGCTCAAAGGTATTACTTTGGGTCCAGAAATGTTTGCAACTGTCACAGTTAAACCACATGGCTCTGATGATGAAATGAGCTAGTCAGTTGCTTTACTCTGTTTGCTCCTGCTGTTCAACCTTGAACTGTATTCTACCGATTCAATAAAAAGAGCCCCTTGGGTCCACCTGTCAAGTGTCTTAAGGGCAAACATGTTGCAGCACACAGATTGTTTGGAGAAATCCGTTTGTGGAACCAGTCAGATGGTTATAAGTAGAAAGCACAGACGGCAAAACAAGAGAGTGAAATAAAAAGCTATGCACTGCCAATTCTATGATGGTTGTCACTTTGTTTGTTCTGACATCATTAGCACAAAAAGCCAACAGACAAAAACCTTAATCACCAACAGAGCTTCCTAGATAAGAGGGATCAGTCAACATGCAGCCAGAGGAAATACACAAAAACACACACTCACACACAGCTTCCCATGAAGACATTTTGAGCAGTTGTCAACTGAACTTGTGTTATGAATTGCTAATTCGGACATTGCTTATGCGATAGTACACATTGGGTAAGCAACAGCATGTCATTACTGGCTATGCGGACCATGATAATAGACCTACACACTTGCACAGTATAATCTTGTTAGAATAATCTCGTCAAACTAAAAGGGAATTTTGATACCAGGATTAAATCATGGATTACAAAAAAAAACAAGTGATTTATTCCATGCTTACATATATGATTTTAATGATTCAAAAGTGTCTGAGTATTTTTACTTTAAGTTGTCTACATTGTGGCTCCTGTGCACATTCACATGCAGCCTTACATGCTGACATGGAAAAATAGTCCACTGGGAGCAAATGAGAAAAGTGACATATCCCCAGCAGTAAAGAAAAATATCATATTGGATTGGCCAGACCTCTCATAACACCTGAATCATCACAGTTTTTAACACTGACTCTGTTTTCTACACAAGTTAACTCTGACTTCTGCAAGCTCAGCACCAATATATTTTTTGAAAAACTAATTTTACATTACTGGGTTGGATATGATAGCATCGGCCAGAGACCTATTTCCTTGACGTGATATCATTGAATTTGGTTTTATTAGAACTGTTTTTTGCAGTGTTCTTTATTTTTGATATATCTCAAAGATAGTTCATTATTCTATAACCATAAGCATCCTGTGAGCTGCTATTTCCTGAGTGGATCATAGCCTGGTTCAAGTTTGATTTTATTTTCAGTACGTCGTGATCTGACAGCTTCTCTGTACTTTAGTTGCCATGGATGTCAGATCTGGTTGAGCTCGGATATAAGATGAGGGATGAAGATCTGTGTTTATCGCATATGTCAGCAAAACTGTGCAATAGCCAACATGTCAGTTCAGCCTCAATGATCTGTCCTTGTATACAATATATTTGACAAGCATCTAAATAGTATGTAGCAACCTGTCCGTTCCTCATAAGTGTACTGGTCAGTAGAAAAGGGATGTTCTCTCTGCCTCGTGAGTGTACATACAACATTCTCTCTCTTTAGCTTTGTCTTGAAATAAATATATTTATTTAAATGCTAAATGCTCTAGTAATGTTCACTATCTAGTTGCCAACATTGGTGCTTGATGTTGAAAATATAGCCTAAACATAGTTTTTAGAGTTTTTGCAAAAACAGCTGTCTTTTTTGCGTGCATATGACGGTTTGAGTGCTGTGAGAGTGAATCAGACATTGAAGTTGTACAGTAGCTTAAACTTCCTATAAAGCTCCAATAATTTCCACTACAAATAAGAATTCATAATAGTATGATATATTGTAAAATCAACATGGATTATACTGCATTATAAAACGGACAAGTAAAATCAAGCAATCTGATTGGTTCTTAGCCGTGGTATACTGAGCGTATACCACGGGTAGAATTGTAAGTTACTTTTCACAACAACTCAGTATCCCTCCGCGTCTGAGATAAACAGTATACAGTTGGACTGAAAAGCAAACTGCCTGCAGTTTGCTTTTCAAACTGGAACAAGAAAGCAGCGGAGAAGTAACGGAGCAGAAACCCTCCTTTTTACGCAACGGTCCAGACATAGACATCAAACGGCAAAAACATATTCAGTGTGCAGTTCCTTTGGCATTAGGGCAGGGATATTTAGATACTTTCCAAGGTTTGACATAATGAATTGTGCTACTTTTAAAGCAAGCAACGATGTTTTCAAATCTGTAATCAAAAAGGTCCGCAAAAACATTTAAGATTAACTTCGACCTCCGGGGGGGGGGGGGGGGGGGGGGTGTCTTACTATGGAGGAGTGGATTGAGGAGTGCCTATCTCCAGAGCAAAAAGCACCTAAACGACGACATGTAGAGCTACGTGAAGAGCAGGTAGACCAACTGGAAAAGTATCACCATTCAAAAGCTTTCTGATGCGGGTCTTGAAACAAAGCAGAGAAATGATGACCGTTAGTGGCCACAGGTGCGAAAGCTCTCTCCAGAGCTACTGGAAGCCG